CGAACGTCCACATCTTTTTATCATCTCTGTGGGTAACAATACATAAAAAACAAGTTTTTTCTCCGACAACTTGGGTGAAAACAAGCTAAGGCTAAAGCTAACAAGCTAAACTGAGATCCTCCATCCATATTTTCAGTTACAATCTGTCATTTCTACCTTCTCCTCTCTGTCAACGCTCTCTGGTTTCATTTAAAAGAGTCGATCATCAGATATTGTCCAAGATTAACCTTCAGGGTGGATATAGCTTGCTAGCAGCCTCACACCGATGACCTATCCACGTCATCATTTACCCAGAATGCTTTGTGTGTAAACAAAATGGCCCCGTCCATGTTAAAATATATTTTCAAAAATGTAGGAAACTAAACAGCCTACAGTATTTTTACAGTCTTTATTTTATATGTTTATCAAATAAAGTCTAATGTTACAACTAATCTGGGATCCCTTTAATAAAACTTCCCGTTCCTTCATCAATGTTGAGATCTTCCGTATTTCCTGTTCACAAACACAAAAGACTGTCAGTAAAAAGACAAAAGATATTCAGTGGAGCAGAACCCATTGTTATTTAGCTCTGCTGAGTTTGAAGGTTTAGTTCCTGTTCAGTTGATAAAGGTCACAACACTCCCCTGTCGTACCAAACAGGTATATAAACTAATGTGAGGTGGAAATTATGTTTCTGCCTGCTAGCAAACATCTCATGAACCATTGGCACAGATTGTGATGCAAACTTCAGAATATAATCATTGAAAGTAATTTTACTACTCCTGACCTGTTGAAGCTGACCTATAATGGCTAATTGACCACGGAAAACAAAAAGAATAGCTATAAGTCTGTCAAATTTACAGACTGCTATATATTTGAACCTGACACATGACACATATTTAACACCTCTGTCAGCACAGATCAGTGTTTAGTGTTGGGCAAATGACCAGTCATGGGTTTACAGTGTCTCTGTGTTAAAGCCCTGCTGGCTGCTTTTTGGGTCCAGCACCCCCCCCCCCCCCTTTTTTTTTTAGCTCACATTAAAATATTTTCTGCATCTACTTTATTTAAGAACAGCTCTGCTAATCCTCCCAAGGCACATCTTTATCTCTCCATGCAGTTCTAGACAAATATGAACTATTCTTTTTTTTTCTATCAGAGAGCATGACTGGCAAATCTGCCAACCATGCTAAATTACCATTTGACTACATTTCCATTTGCAATAAATTGTCATGTTTTAGCTAATGATGGAAAATAGAAACCATCAGCTTTGATCAATAAAGCTAAGTTATGTTGTAACTTCTGTCCATGTTGTCTCCAGCCCTGTGAACAAGGGCGCCAGCTGAAGAGGATTCATTGGGTGTCCAACATCGGCACAGCTCTCAAGTTCCTTGAAGGGAGAAAGGTAAGATAACAGTTTATTTTATGCTTTTAAATGTGTTAAATTACAAGAGAAACTTTATTACCTAGAAGACTGTAAAAGAAGGAGAATACCAAGACATGTGAGAGCACTCTGACAGAGTTACAAGCTTCAGCAGCTGAGATGAGAGACTATAAACAGCAACTCTTATTCTGGTTCTCTTCAGTCTAACATTTATGTCAGAGACTGTACACACAAGTATTTTTATTTTGCTAAAATTCAACAGATAAAACATAATTTGGGTTCAGATACTAAGTGTTTCCATTTAGGGACCCCTGTTTACACTCTCCATGTGCGAGGTTTGCTTTTCTGTCTCTGCATCAGTCTCTAATTGTTTGTTAAAAATAAACAGCATTTTTGTTTCTGTTGTACAGAACTAGGGTTGGGCAAAATCATATTTTGTGCAAGTAATTGTAAGAAAAACTTTTGCTATTTATTATTTGACACTTGTTGATCTGATTAGTGTCGCCAGACGGACTGAGTGAGGATTTCTCCCAGCGCTGCTCGGTCCATCTGTCTGCAGCTCAGAACCCAGATCCATCTCAATCAGCTGCAGCTCCATGTTTAAGGAACACCTCGTTTTGACTCAGACACTAAAACTGACCAAACTAAAGACTAAACTACATCCTATCTATAAAATCCAAGCATGCTAAATATCATAAATCTCTCAAATCTCATTGCTCAGTCCCAATCTTGCCGTCTCTCCATCGCCTCTGAACTTTATTCAATTTTGCGTCTTTTTATTTTCTTCTTCCTGTAGAATTTTTGCCATTTGTCATTTAATTTCAGTTGTCAGTCAGAAAGGAGTTTGGGAGTTTTATGTTTGTTTGGTGGAGTGGGAGTGAGACCAGGGGATGGATTGAAGTGATTTTTCCATGAATTTGCCCATCTTTCACTGCCTCTCACTGCAACATGCTTCAAATATGACACATCTTAAAGTAAAACAAAAATATGCCTTAAATTATTTACTATAACTCTGATTTTACTTGGCCTATCAACGCAATTTAAAAACTAGTGTATAGTTTGAAATCTGTACTTTGGACACAAATTGGAACAGTGTATCTTTCGGAGCGATTTAAATTAGGGGTGTCCCGATACCAGTTTTTTCAAGACTGAGTACAAGTACGAGTACTTCAGTTTAAGTACTCACCGATACCGATACCAAGCAGCAGGGTTCGTGTGGATTATCTGTTCAACTTGTTGAATATTAAACAGAATGAAAATGAAATGCAATTATCATGCAAAAATTGATGGGTAAATATTATGTTTGACAATAAAAAGGTAGTGCAAACTCTGACAAGTAGATAAGTTGGTATATATATACTGTATATAACACCATAACTTTTGAAACCATTTATTTTATTTCAAACAGGCTCTTTTTTATAAGGCCACACTCCCTCTGAATATATTAACAATACAAATACTGCAAAACAAATGCTGTTGCATACATTAAAAAACAAAATAAGTTATTTTTATACATTTTCCTCAACATGCAACTACCAAATTTAAATTAAAATGTAAAACGTAAATTTTAGCAGCACATCTATAGAAGTTTATTCTGCTTCAGTCTTAAACTGTTTAAAAAATGACTAATAGTAATAAAGTGCAGTAAATTTCAGTTCAAACTTAAATGGAACAACTAAAACAAAATCTCAGAAGAACCACAGTGAAAAATAAAAAGCTTTTACAACAAACTTCCTTCCATATTCTGCTTATGTCTTAGTTTGTTCTACAAGAAAGAAAAAACAGCATTGAAGTTACTGCAGCAACTGCAGCATAGTGCTGCTTATGAAGGCTACTGCTAGCAGCAGCAAACTCTTTGAATTCTTTGTCATGTCTTGTCCTCAAATGTTGAATCAAATTGCTGCTGTTAAAACATCCAACTTTCTCTCCTCCCCTCAACAGTTTAGCAGAGCACAGCAGACAGTCTGCTGGTTTGGTGTCCTCCGTGCCGATCTTAAAATATCTCCAAACTGCCGATATGTTACTTCTTCTTCTACCGTCATCGTTCTTCTTCTGTTATTCGGGGGTGCAGTCGGAAATAACGTGTCAGTGCGTTAGCGCCACCGCTTGGTATGGATTGTTGTTTACCCTTTGTGCTTCAGCGCAGCACAGGAGGGGACAAAAGCGGTATCGGTTAAGAGTATCGGCCGGCTTTTACGAGTACGAGTATGAGTACTTGATGCTGGTATCGGACCCGATACAGATCGGGGCACCCCTAATTTAAATCAGTCATGCCAGCAAAGCATCCAGGCGATTAATCGTCAAATTAATTATAATCGGCTAAATGCCACAATAATTGTATATTTGTTTTTTGGCCAATATCACCCAACCCTAAACAGAATCATGATTTTGACATAATGTTACCCCTTACATCTAGTGACTGGGAGTTTACCAATGAGAGAAACAGTGCTATCTCTTGAGAAAAAGGGATAAAGAGCACTGTTGGTTGGATCGTTGGTAATATATAATATGTTGTTAGCATAAAATAGCACTGTGTGTAAAACACTGTCTTGAGACAGGACTTCATGATTACTAGGGCTGTGTATTGGCAAGAATTTGGCGATACGATACATATCATGACAGAGGGGTCACGATACGATACATCCCGATATATCCCAATATATTTTGATACTGTAAACAAGGCGATATATTGCGATATTTTTGGTCCAAAAATTCTATTAAATAAAAACCTCTTACTGGTAAAAAAAAACCCAAAAACCAAATTTCATTATCTCAGAAAATTCTAATATTACATAGACATACTTTTGATACAT